ATGTGTTTCTAATTTAGCTAGTAAAATGTATACTCTGGTTTATTATGCCCTGTGCTTGAACTGTATGGCTTTGGTTTCTTTTGAATGGAATGAGCTATAATGTAATTTAATTCAATACTTGAGACTGCTACAGAAATTACATCAGTACAGTGGATGTCGACTTCTGTTGTTTTGAGAAAGATGTGACCTAGCTTGCTCCTCCAAGACACATTAAATAATTCTTTTCACTGGTTTTAATAATCCTTGGGTGGGTCAACTCTTTTCCTTTGTAACGCCCTGGGACTGGTTCTCAGCACTGAGGACTTCAGAGTTTTGTTTTTCACATCATGTTAATACTCCTCTATGGATTGACTAGCATGATTTGCCCTAAGGGTTATGGGGAGGAATAATTTGACATACATCCAAGAATCAAATGTACTACAATCAAAGGGAGTCCATACCACATTAGCCTGGGGAGCAATGGTCCAGTTTGCTGCTACCACCATGTTTATCAGTCAAAGCATGTGGTCCAAACAATCAATGTTACATATACCACTTCTAATCAAACATTCTTTGTATGAATTACTTTTAAAAAAGGAATTCTTAACCTTGGCAGAAGGGTTCTTTTGGTGAGTGTATAATTATTTGACTTACTACAAAAGCACCAAATACCTGGGTTTTCTGGAAAGACAAATTAACCATTTATATCAAAGTGGACTTCATGTGTTAGGTGTTGTCAAATGTTTCACAATTGTCACAATCAGTTGTAAACTTCAGACCAAATAAAAGTGCCCAAATCAGTCTAAATATAGGGTACCTGAATGTATATTGTCAAGTACAAACAAAAACAGCTGCCCTTATCATTCTCCTGACTGCTTATAAAAATTCTAAAGGCAACACACTTGCTACATCTTTTCATTATTTGTAAGCAGAGTCTGGATAAGCTCTCTCCTGACATCTAGTGGTGAGCTGTGGAAAAAGACTTCAGAAGCTGATCTTGTTTGCATGGACACACTTATTCATAGAATATCTGGATTGGAAGGGACCTCAGGAGGTCATCTAGTCCAACCCCCTGCTCAAAGCAGTACCAATCCCCAATTTTTACCCCAGATCCCTAAATGGGCCCCTCAAGGATTGAACTCGCAACCCTGGGTTTAGCAGGCCAATGCTCAAACCACTGAGCTATCCCTCCTTGCCTAGGTGCTCAGCATGATGGGACTAGTTGTCCAAATGATCACTTGTGGCTAGTGTTGGATCCCCAGACTCCTGGTTATTGGGGCAAGAGTAATAAGGGGTTGCTATCCTTGTTGTGTGAACCAAGGGCAGCAGAACTGAACCTGGCATACCCCAATGGAGGGATTCACCCTCAACTCAACAGCACTTGCTAGGTAGGGGACATGGGTTCCAAAGCCCAATGAGTTGAGGGTGGGTGTTGGTGTTTTGTTTAAGGGTTTTTAGATACTATTTGACTTGTCTTCTCTATGGTATAGTAAAAGAGCTATTTAAGATTCAATTAAGAGTCTTGTTACATGTTGTAGAGTTAAAATTACTGATACTTAGGTCTAAGCATTAGATCTACTTTAGGATGGTGTCTCTATTGCAAGAGACTCCCCCGCTAACAGCTGAAATCACTGAGAGCTGTGTTAAGTGCATGAGTGGGGTTCTGAAGACATCTTGGTGAGCAGGCAGCTGGTGGAGAGTTGTGGCAATTGGCTAGCAGGGTGGCTGATGGAGAGGGCTAGAGCAGAGCCCTGCAGAGGCATAGCAGTTAGCTGTTGGGCTGATGAGTGAGTGCCTGAACAGTGCAGTGTGTAAGGTGCCTCCTTACTGCCTTCCACGCCCCTGCCTTCCACACAGGGTGGGAGGTAAGCTCTGCAGATGAACCTCTGAACTCTGGGGCTGCACTGGCCAAAGGATGGCAACTGTGAGTGGGGTACAGAGGAGGGATAGGCACGTTAAAGGGATTTTTGGGTTGCTGGACTTAAAACACTGAGGGGAAAAGGACACTGCCCAACTTACTTTGGGTGGGTCTTTTGCTCATGGTTTGTGTTTATGAGCCCTAGTTGCAGTGTTTCCCCAAATTAATGCTGAGTTAATTCCCTCCTTTTATTAAAAGTTTTTGCTACACTCAGACTCTGTGCTTGTGAGAGAGGAATTATTGCCTCTTAGAGGCACCCAGGGAGTGGTGTGTAATTGTCCCTAGTCACTGGGTGTAGGCTTGAGCTGGTTTTGTGTTTGTTGAAAAGGAACCTCTAGATACTGAATCTGGCCCTTGTGGCTGCTGGCTTCACTTGGCAGAGGGGTTACAATTATTTATTAATGTAACAACATGGTTATGCTGGGCGTCTTAGAGAACTAGTATTAGTGGCTTTCCTTGAAGAGTTCACAATCCTAAAATTTAATCTTAAAAACCTTACTTAGTTACTGATCACTGAATTCACTTGAACTATTCTCATGCATAAATTTGCAGGATTCAACCCTTAGGCAGGACTCCCATCAAAGTTAATCAGTCAGTACTTCAATAGTATATTTTTAGGGCCAGAAGGGACCATCACGATCATCTAATCTGACTGCCAGCATGATGAAGCTATGGACCTTCACTCAGTGAATCCTGCATTAAGTCCATAACTTCCGCTTGAGCGGAAGCATATCTCTTAGGACGGTGACCAATCTTGATTTGTATCAAGAATTGTGAGGTAATGTGACATAGAGATCGAGCACTGGACTGGGAATCAGGTGGCCTGGGTTTTATTCCCAGCTCTGGCACTGGCCTGCTTGGGGAAACTCAAGTCACTTCTGTGCCTCAGTTTTCCCATCTATAAATAGGGATAGTGAGCCACTTTGAGATCTAGTTATGAAAAGCACAATAATAAGAGCCAGGTATTTTTGTTATTTCTATTGATTTAAAGACTTCAAATGACAGAGAATCCACCATATGCCCAGGTAAATTATTCCAATGGTTTGTTGTTCTTACTTGAAAATTTGCCCTTATTTCTAGTCTGAATTTGTCTCGCTTCTACTTCCAGCCATAAGATTTTGATATGTCTTTGTTTGTGAGATTAAAGAGCTCCCAAATATCAGTAATCTTCTCCTCATGTAGGTATTTATAACTGATGATCGTCATCTTTTATCTTTTTCTTGAAGAAAGGTAATATATTGAATTTCTGTCAAAATCAATCGGAATTCTGCCTGAGTAAGGGCTGTGAGATCAGGCTCTTGGTAAACAAGGTGTGGAGGGAAAGTCTCTCTTATCCAGCAAAAAAAAAAAAAAAAAAGGTGTGTGTGTGTGCGCTGTGGGTGGGGGATAGCAGGAGTGGTGGAATGGATGATGAGTTACAACAGCAACAAGGAAATACCATGTAGTGTGCTTATGCACTGTACATACCTTCAGATTTTTACAAACAAATTAATGTTAAATAGTGGAAATTGGCAGTGTACAGAATGAAGGCTGGGGCAGGAGGGGTGATGGGTGTTTGGTGACTGGAGGCAGCTGAAAGGGTGTAAGAAATAGCAGCATAATTAAGAAAATACTGTCTCCAGGTGTGTTTTCATCTGACAGAAGTATGTGGTTAGCTTAGCTTTTCTTTACTGTAAACCAGAACTCTGAATATTCTCCAAGGGATGCAATATAGTGTATAAAGTAACCTAATGTGACATGATTTATGTGTTTTAACAAAAGAGATTTGAACTCTACGGCAACCCCTGGGTCCTGGGGCGGGGGAGGGGGGAGATGGACACACCATTAAAATCATGTGATTTGCCAGAGTTTTCTATGCATAAAAAACTGGTTGAATATTGTTTCTCCAGGCAAAGGTTTTCAAAAGTTACTAGTGATTTTTGGGGTTCCTTAATTCTTTGGGGTGCCGAACTTGAGACATCCTATGGGAACTAATATTCAGAAAGTGCCAAGCGGCTGCCCTCTGAAGACCAGGTTCCTTTGAGGTGTTTCTAGTGGGTGTTCCCAAAAATCACAAGTCTGAAATTTTGGCTGTGTTCTGTTTTGGATGTAGCTCTCCTATTGACATCAATGTGCCCAAAACGGGTGGGGAGAGTGAAGGGGGAATGTTTTGGGGAGGAGTTGCTATTGTTAGGTATCAACAGGAAGCATCTTTCCAAAAGACACACTGGGGATTGCTCTATTGTATGGAGGCATAATGACTGAAGTAGACTCAATGGGCCAGATCTTTAGATGGTGTAATTTGTCAGAGCTCCACTGATTTCAATGACATAAATAGAGGGCATCTGTCCCAATGATTCTAGAAGGTCCCACAATGGTGGCATGCAGCACCTCTGCACATTTCTATTATAGGCAGTAGCTGAAGTGTTACAATCTTGTCCTACATGTGTAACCCCAATATTACAAAACTTCATTCTTTTATATTCCACTGAAGAAACATTTATTTCTTTAGTGCATCAGCTATTTGTTGCTTGTCTGGTGTAAAAGATATTCCATGCTAAAGAAATGACCCTTTTCTTTCAGGGTCTGTATTTTTATTAGTTTGCTCTCACTTTTTGAGCTTCACAATAGATTTAGTTTCTCACATCTCTAATAATTTAAGGTATCAGAGGACTTTTGTTAATGGTGTTCTGCAGCCATCCCAATTATGTATATTACAGTAGCACTGAAAATGTGCCAGAGAGATGTGGGGGGGAAAGAAGCTATGCGCGGCCCAGAAATGTTTAAAACCACACCCATGGACGTGGCAGGGTTTCATTCATAGAACCCAATCCTGAGCAGTCCCATTGAAGTCAATAATACATAAAGTTAAGCACATGCATACATCTTGGCAGGATCAGGCCATAATATGCAGTTCAGAAAGGGAGGAAGAAATACTGAGAAAAGGGTTTAGTTAAGGAGGATAAGCCAAGTGTGTGTATATATATATATAATTTTTTTTGGGGGGAGGGAGAACTGATTTGCATTTAAAAAGTTGTGGTATTGGCCAATGGGGATCTTTGTCAAGTTAGTGTGGAGTGGCCTTAATGCTGGAAATAATCCTGTTGGCCGAGACCCCAGTACTGTGCAGATCAGAAAAGGATGCAGGAAATTCTGTTTACACATGTGTCTGTAGCACTGAGCAGCAAGAGCAGCCCAGCGAGCCCAGAGGGTAAGGGAGTTTAATAGTCTTGTGGTTTTACTGTTTTAATTTTTATATCTTTCTGCAGGACAGTTTGTGTGTAGGTCCCACACAGGGAGTTGAGGGAGGAAAGCAGTATAAGATATATAGCAGAAGTACTTAGATATGAAAAAGAAGAGTATCTGAGTGTGTGATTAAGTTGTGCTTAACTATCTTCCTTTTGCTTTCCATTTCACCACCACTGGTTTATTTTTATCTTTACATCATATTAAACATACCTAGTCTTGTTGTATGTATACAATATGCTTATTTAACATAACCACATAAGAGTTTAAAATATAAATTTGCACAGCACAAGTGTGTTAAACCATCTATCTTTATTAGTAATTAAAAAATCTGAATGAGTTACTTTAAATATGGCATGTTGAAGGCTTATATTGTTTTTGTATATATAAATTCAAAACAACAGTAGGAAAAGTTGGTACTGTCTGGGTCATTTTGTAAACGTCACTCAATACTGTAGAAATTTTAAACTAAGGGGAATAGTGTTGTTTGAGTTTGCTGCTCACACTAAATTTCTGTTGCGGTTAGCAGGAAGTTGTGTAATCAGAAGGAATGTTTCCGATTTAAAATGTGCAACTAGTGATAGATTTGTGATTTTAATTTCCTTTTGAAAACTATCTGGATACAGGCAAAAATAGGGGCTGAAATGCAGTGAGGTTTTTGTTTGTATTTTTAAAGTGTGGTATAACAAAGCAGAGAAGTATTGTAATGTGATATGTTGGCAATGGACAAAGATATTCAGTTTGTCCATTATTTGAAATGGTAGAATCCCAGATGGAATGTGAGTGTGTGGATGACTTGTCACCAGGGAGGACCCAAGGGGCAAATTTTTAAAGTAATGCAGAGCAATTTAATAAATGCATATAGCAGACTGTTCTGCCTGTCTGTCGGATATGACAAGAATACTTGGGTTTTTATCTTTTCATTCTCACTGTTTTCATCACCACCATGTTAGTTTGTTCCCTACGATCATCAGTGTTGATATAAAAAGCAGGTAACTTACATTAGGAATACTTTGTATTTTTGAACGCTGCTATTGCAATTGTTTGCCTAGTGCCCTGAAGATATAAAGCACTATATAAATGTTAAGTATTATGAATGGGACCTGTTGTGTGTTCTTTACATACTCAAACCTTCAAAAAAATTCAATGGGAGTTCAGTGGCTGCAAAGAATAATGTATCAAGCCTATTACCTATCTATTTTTCTGCCTGTCTTTAACTCAATCCAGCGTTCTTAAATTATTTCTTTTTATTTTATTTTATTAAAAAAACTAGGGACCCTAATCCAGTGGATGTTGAAATCGGTTCATCTATTGCCATTTATCTCCATAGATGAGCCTCAGAGTCTTTTAGTAGATTAATAAATTAATCAATATTTATTTACTAATTAATTATTTAGCTCCACAAGTATATGTAGCATTTCATGAATCATAGTAAGAGATGTTCCCTGCCCTAAAGAGTTTTGCTGCCCAATGGTCAAGATGAGAAGATTGCCTTAGTGATCTACTCTCCTAAACAGAAGGAGGCATTCATATTATTGTAAGGTTACTTCTGGAAAATGCTGACTTCTTAATGACAACTGCTTTCTGTGAAAAATATCCTAGTGTAATGTGGTTCATGTCCAATAGCAGTTTTGAGTTGTCTAATAATCTGTTGGGTCAACCCACCTATGTATTGTCCTCCTTTTAAATATTGCTTTTTATCCATTTCCATTTGCCCTAAATCTATGTCAAATCACTTACTGATTACTAGTTCTAAATGAAAAAGCTGGCAGATTAGAACAATTTATAAATGCTCACACAAGGTCTTCTTGGCAAAAACAAATCTGCCCCAAATCCTCAGTTTTCTGCACTTCCTTTTCTTTGTAAATCATGTGTACACAGCATAATTCCCGCTAATGTGCATAATGGGATTTGGGAATATATTGGATTTAATTCAAACCTACTTTCACACCAGTGGTGCCCTGCTATCCTCTGCTGGCTGTCCTGCTAAGGAAGGTCCTATTGTTAAGTGTCATCAAAAGTCTGAACATGTCACCTGGTTGTGGCTCTTCCCTTATTAGCACTCCCCTGATTACCTCTAGACAAAGTTTCTACCACGGTTGGCTATACAACATGGGTAACCCGAGTGCAAGCCAGCATATTCGAGGGTAAATTAAGCCTACTTGATATGTACCCTTGCTCTAGAGCAGCGGCTTGCAAACTCTATTGATTTCATGTGCCTCCGTCTTAAAAAATTGTTGATAGATAAGCTTGATGTTCCACCAATTCATTTCACCAGTGGTACATGTACTCAATGTTTGGATAATCCCGTGGTGATAATCTCATAAGTGATAGGAATTTTAATTGCACTTGTATTTTGTCTGAAACTCTATATTCTTGTAAAGTGGGGGAGGGGAATGGGAGGGAGTTCCAGATATTGTATAACAGAGCACAATCAGGGTTCATCAAAATTCAAGCAGTCACAGAAACAGGTAGATTTTTTTTCCAAAGAAGGATTCATGTATATGGATGATTCCAGAATATATTTTATAAAGTTTCAGTTTCCACTTTCTTTGTTACTGACTGTAAATTAACTTTCTCAAAGTTCTATGCCCTCGTTCTTATTTTGTTCTTCATGTGGTGGTATTTGTACTACTTTTTCCTTCCCCCGACTTCCGACTTCCCCTTTGCTGAATACACATTACATCAAGTCTTTCTCAAATATGAATGTGACTGGCTACTAAACGTAGACTTCCCATATTTTCTCCACTGGAATTATTAAAAGAAGGCTTCAGAGGATGCTCTTCTCAGCCTTGTGATGTGTCAACCAAAATAATTGAAATCTTGCCTTCCAACATTTTTTTCCCAAATAACCCAGGTGTGTGAGAAGAGCAAGTAACTTATCACTGTGCTTTAATAAAAACAAATTCTACACTAAAATAATCCTGAAATATATTTTCATTCGGACAATTAAACAGCATGCTTGTAACATAGCTAGTCAGTTACGAAGCCACATTTTCCCAGAAGGCTGCAGGTTCAAAGTAAATGTTCAAACTAAGCTTGCAAATATATGCAGCAACTGCTTCCAGCTACCTTTTACATTGCAAAAAAGACATAGGGTAAGTAAACATTCTGTCTGTTAGTTTGTTCTTCACAAACTTATTCTTAACAAAATAAGATATCTTTAAAAATACATGCAATGTAATATTATGCGCCAGTGTTCTCTGGGTGCACAGTATAACATGTAATTGTAGTCACTTCTTTACAGAAACGAAGAAACCTTCCTAACCTTGAAAAAATTTGAACATGCAGAGCTTTTAAAATGCTTATTACACTCAATACATTCCCCACACCAGGTTGGATTTGTATTTTTCAGGATTACTCTTATACACCAAAAACATAACACTGCTACCTATAAGAGACCCATAAATTCCATAGATCCATCTGGATCTCCCAGAATGGGAAAACTCCACTGACTTCAGTAAAGGAGTCCTGATCTAGATTGGTGTAAATAAAAGGTGAAAAAGAGCAATTGTGCCAAATTCATCCTGGTTTAACCCTAGTAACTCTGACAACCCTTGTTGTTTGTTTTTATTGTATTTTCAGTTGACTTGCAAACTTTTCCCATAGGACAACTATATGAGTTGAAGACTGAAGACTCTTTAATGTGGCCTTAAAGAGAAATGACCAAATAGCCCAAATGCCACTGGGAACAAAACCCACTCTCTTCTTCACATGAAAAAGGAAGGTTCTGAATGTATTGGAAGGACAGGAGACAGGAAATGTGGAGTGGCCCACCCCACATTTCCTGCCCTTCCAATACATTCAAAAACCTTCTTTTTCACACCAAACCTATGTATGAGGGAGTATAGCTCTGCCGGGGATCCTTGCATCCCATTTCAGGAGAAGATTTGTAGGAGGAGCCAAGAGAGCTATGATTAAGCATATTCATCACTTAGTTACAGTGTAAAAAGATTGCTATACTTGCATGACTGCTATTTTCTTAAGGCTACACTAGTGGCGGTAGACTAGAGTATACTTTCTGTTGCATCAGACCCTTGATATTAGTGTGCAGGATATTTATTCAGGCTGGGGGCTGGGAACAAGTTTTAGCCCTTAGTGACTTTCTTCTGGGTAGCACACAGTAAGAAAAGAATAAGTGATGGTTAAACAGCTGTATACATTTTTTTCTGATTGTAATAGTCATTTCCCCTTATATCTGACAGTATCACATATACTTTTTAGTGTTCGATATATCTGCTTTTCCACTGTAACTTGTTTCTCTGTGTCATATGAAGATAGTAGAAAGGGAGGTTTTGATGAGGCTGAGAATTGATATCATTGGTAACATTTTGATTGCAGAAGGCGACTGAAGAACTCCTTAGTACAGGATTAAAGACGTGGTTACTGTGGAACATGAAATATGTCAGTGTGCATATATAGTCTGCTTTTGATTTGTGGAAGAATTGTGTTCAAAGAAACGCTTGGTGAAGCTGGGGGAGTTCATATTTTCCATTAGATGTTTCACCATCTGTTTCTGAGTGACCTATAGCATTCTGAGCACTCTATAACTCAAAGTATCTTGCATATACTGTACTTTCTGGTACTTTCTTTACGTACTAATCATCTAGCTAGTTATATGAAAATACAGGTAATCTCTGAAGAACACTCGCAGCAAATCTTTAATGAATTTTGATTTGGTATAAGATGCTGGTCTGACAGCATGTCATAAATATAAAGGGAAGGGTAAACCCCTTTGAAATCCCTCCTGGCCAGGGGAAAGCTCCTCTCACCTGTAAAGGGTTAAGAAGCTAAAGGTAACCTCGCTGGCACCTGACCAAAATGACCAATGAGGAGACAAGATACTTTCAAAAGCTGGGAGGAGGGAGAGAAACAAAGGGTCTGTGTGTCTGTCTATATGCTGGTTTCTGCTGGGGATAGACCAGGAATGGAGTCTTAGAACTTTTAGTAAGTACTCTAGCTAGG